ATATATATATATTAATACAATAATTAATATTGCATAAATTTCAAAAAATATTTATTGATATTACATATGCATAAAAATTTATAAAAAGGAATCAATAGGGATATAACTAATGGAAATTTTTTTTCTTTTTATGCCATAATGAGAAGTCGTTATTTCTGTATCTTCGTTAACCATAGACTTATTCACTTCGTTTATTTTGTTAATTTTTATTTGCTTTGTTGAATCTACGGTTAACGTTTCCTTTTTTTTCTCAAGATCTTCAGATAAATCATCAGTTATTTCATAATACCTTAATCTGCTTTCTGGATTTGAGGAATCATCCTTGGTAGCGAATGTGGCTTTGTGTTTTTGTACATCGCGCGTTTTGTTTAGATACTTAGCGTTTTTTTCAGGAGTAGAATGCGATTTATGAGGATAAGGACAACACTCACCTTTGCTGCAAATCCCCGATTTGTGGAATTCAGGACAAAGATTTTCATGACGCCGTTGACACTGCAAATAAATAGATCAATATTCATTCTTTGCAATAAACTTCTTTAAAATATTATATCATTTGCATAAGCCACTTGTTGCAGTGACGTTTATCTATGGTTTTTTTGTTATCATAAGATAATATATTTGTTTCTTTACATTAATAGCCTCAGACTCGTATGCGCGAGTTACATGGTAGAGTTAATAGCATTAGAAGTTATTGCATAAATCATATACCAACATAAATTTGTTAAGGGTAATTTGTGATTTTTTAAATTACATAATAAATTATATTTATTATAGCAAATAATGAATTAAATACGAGTAATTATAATAAAAAAAATTTGATTACAATTGCTATAAAGTGATTAATTAAAGTGTAAAAGAAAAGGAATAAAAGACCTTGATTACCTTATTTCCCATAGCACAATATCCTTGTAGAAAATCGATACAGATGGAAGTATTTGAAGAGACTTTGACGTGAAGATAAGGACAAGCATCTCTTGTGCAACAGCCATCGAGGAAGTACTTGCATGTAGGCATCTTCTCAGGACCAACATCATGTGATAAAAGACATTTGTCTAAGAAACACTTTCCTTGAAGAAATCTAATGATATTTAAAATGTTGTCCAATTTAAGTTTTTATTAAATGTTGTTCAAAAAATCTCGCCTTATATTAGAAATGTAATATATATAATTTTATATGTTTCATATAAACATAGTAATTTTAATATTAATGATATACCTTTTGCAAAGCGACACTTGCTTTTTGTCATGTCGTTTGGGACATACCCCATTTTTAATATTTGGACAAGATCCAAATCGTTGAAATATCAAGCATGGCTGATTATTTTTATGCATTTTATTTCGCAAAATTCGTATGCTTCTTTGTTTTGCTTTGTTACTATAAAAAAAATTGATTTGTATTAAAAATCAATAAGTCTGTATGCAGGCTTAAATAATAATATATATTATAATACCTAATGCTGTTTTTGTAAGTAGCTTTCGGCGATATGTTGGAAATAAATCTTGTTTTATTAGTGATATTTGTCTCTAATTTGCGATTTAAAGTTTCTTTATTGTTTCGTTGTTTTTTTTCATTGACAGCAACATTAAGTTTATCATTCTTTCCACCAATTAATCGTTTTCCTAAATATAAAAAATTAATGCAATATATATTTATAAATGAAAAGATTATATACATTTAAATAATAAAAAAAGATATACAATAATAATATACATACGTTTCAATGAAGAGCTCCTCCGTATTAATTTATTTTTAGAAGCTTTGTAAACAATTCCACCAATAGTAACAAATTGTGCTATGTTGTTTCTGTAATTTTTATAATTTCGTAAGAATTGTTTATTTTGTAATTTAAATATACAATTACGAATGATACTTACATAATTTTCGTTTGTGAACGATCTACTCTTTTACTTTTTGGTACATATAAAGTGGTTCTGTCTATTTTATATTTGGTCACTTTAGATTTATTAGGAGATTTATTAATATTCAATTTTAATAAATTAGAGTTTGTGTTTACAGATTGTAATGTATTATTTAATAATGGTTTAACTTTTACGGTCTTCGGTGATATTGTTTTAGATCTTTTCTGTATTAATTCTGCAGATTTTGATAATCTATATTGCGATAATGGAGAAATTTTTGATGTGTTTTTTATAGTACGAGTTATTCTCACAAGTTTTCTTTGTGATAAAAGCACAATGCTGGAATTATTAGTTTTCTTTCGATAATCGATACTTTTGGCACACTTTAATCTTGAACAAATAGATTGCTCCTTTATGATCGATTCTTTATTACTTATTAACTTTCCTTCAGAAGAAGAGGATAACTTTTTCATTAATGTTGGATTAACATATATAGATCGTTTGACATTTTTATGGATAGTATTATTATCTATGAGTGTTTTTGTTGTACTCAGATTTGTCATGCTTGTATTATTTTGCAAATTTTGATTTGAATTAGCAATATTATTCATTATTTTTGGGTTAATATGTATCAAAGACTTAGTATGAATATTTGGATTGATATGCACTGTTGCATTTTGTGGTTTAAAATTTGGATTAACATGAACATTTGTGGTACATAATTGAGATTTTACATACACATTGTTAGTTGATTTATGGGGTAATATTTTAGTATTTGAAACAGAATTATTAACTGGATTCTTTATATTTGGATAAACTTTTGATTTTTCGAAATTGAAACTTTTATTTGGACAACTTATTTTCTCAGTGTCCAGCAAATTCACCTTTTGTTGATATTGTTCTATTTGATCTGCAATTATATATATATACATATATAAGACATTATTTTTGTTAATTTGATATAATTGATCAAGAGAAATGAGAAAAACTTATATGAGAAAAATAACATATATAAAAACTTGAAAAAAAATTGTAATAAAAATCAAGATTTGAAAATCTTATCATCTTAATCCTAATAAGATGACTATCCAATAAATGTTTAAAATAAATGCACTTTTATTAAAATCTAAAGTAAAAGATGTTTTGATATTTTCTCAAGAGTTGCAAACTTACTTTTTAAACGATTAATTTCGTTTAACATCTTGAATTCCATAATTACGGATAATGGCACTTTCAATCCAAAAAAATTCGATAAATAACACGTTTCTAAAAATATCTCAACGTGTTTTCTTAAAATCGCGCAATCTCTGCAATCATGCTCTCGACAGTTCCAACAAGTCTTGAATATACTTCTGAAGATTCGTATATTGAATTAGAACACTAGAACCATGATTTTTTTTCATTTACTTCTTTTTAATGTCACTTATCTGTAAGAAAGATCAGCAAATGAACAACAATAACATAAGGTGACAATTTACTATAAGAAACTTATACTATTACGTATGAAACAATGAAAATAATTATGACACTAAGAATTACTTATAATTAATATATTCTTTTAGATCTACCAAATCAGATTTATGTTTTAAAAGTCGATGACACTCACTTTGGTTTCCTGAACGTAACCATTCCTTCCATTTTCTTCTGAAGGATCGACAACAGCGACGGCCAATTCTAAAATGATTTTGGAGACCTCACGTGAGAAAATTGAGAAACTCCGGCTTCTGAGTCGATAAAAAAATCCAACGTCGATAAAGAAGCTCGTCAGAAAGGAATACGCGTATTTTGTCCAATTAATGGATTCTGTAATATGCAATACATACGTTGATTGCAGAAATATTAATCTGCACATATATTTTTCCACTTTCTAATATGTATTTAGTAGTATCTTTTGTTATTAAAACTGAGTTTAGGAGATAAGCCTAAATAAAGAACAAACAACGCTTACACCTTTCAGCGACTGAAATTCTGTTATAAGAGGCCACAATATAGATCGTATACAATATTTATATTCTTACAATATTGAACATGTCGAATGCATAGCTAATATTCAATCAATTAATAATGCAAAATTTGAAAATAATATTTATTTCTTAATATAAATATGATTTTTTTATATCTAGAAAAATTTAAATAAAATAAATTTTATTAAAACAAAAGCAATGAATAGAATGATAACAAATATGAAAGAATGGGTCGCAGCTATCCCGTGTTACTGTACACAATAACGTAAGACTGAAATGTGAATTGATCATACACGTTTGAACACAGATCACACATCAGTGTAGTGAATTAATAACGCAAAGAAATTCATATACACGGACATTGTCGATAAATAATATTTAATATAACAATAAGAAGAGGATTACAAAAATGGTTAATATATGAATACATGTCAGTAACAAGCAAAATTACTATTTTCTATCGATTCAAGTGCTTGACTTGTTATACTGCATTATGTTCATATGTTTCATATCTTCAAAAGCCCGTAATTTCTCATAGGTTTATGCTGTTCCACTTTTCGTTTTCCGATTTTTTGTTTGACAGCACCAACTATAAAACTAAATTGCTTTTCGTGTATAGGCAGATGATATTGAACAAATTCATATATCTACAACAGATTATTTGATGATATAACAGATCCTAATAAATATAAGTTTTCTCTCAAAATTATTGCGTTAAGTTCATTTGAATCAGACAAGTCACGTATGTGACATAAATTAAATAATCTCAATATAAAAAAATCAAGTAATGAGAATGTTATATGCATTTAAGAAAATATACCTTTCTGAATTGTTTTTCATCAGGCTGGTGCGTTATAATAACAATTAATGTTGCAATCTGCTTAACTGCTTCCCTACAAATTAAAGCAATATATTTAACAAATATAACAAATATTTATAGATGTTAAAATATATTAACAAAAAACGAAGTAATCACCCTTTCATTTTGAACATCAAAAATTTGAATATAACATTGAGCATTGCATCACTTTTTGCATGTTTCGCAACAATAAGGAGATAAATAGCAATCTTTTCACTGTTTGATACTCTAATACCAAAATCTTGTTCTCTTATTAATCCCAAATAATTTTGAATAATTTCAGTATCTGTAGAGCAAGTTAAATATTCTAAAATTGTATTATAGGATGTTGCATTCCATCTATTCCACACTTTGTCCCAAGTAGTGAAGTTTGCTGCCATTAAACCTTTACAGTATATCCATTCTTCCCATTTCAAAAGTCTACATTATCAGAAAAAAAATATTGTATACAAAGATTTAAGTACAATATTTTATAATTTAATATTAAAGTAGTTTATTAAGTATAAAGCAATAATGCCACCAAATTTATTTACACAAATATCGTGGTTACAACACAACTTACTTGTCTTGAACAGAACTTTTAAGATGTTTTTCTAATTGGAAGGTTGCTGTTTCTCTACATTTTGGAGCATCGAAAAGACATGCCCATTTTACCGCTTCTTCTCTTAAAAATTTAGTAAAATCATTTTCAAAATGCAATTTGTCCATGTATCCTATATTTAGCAGAAGTCTATCAAACCTATCTGTAACTTCCTTCTAAAATTTGTTAAATAATAAGAATATTAAATTTATTATTTTTGCAAAAAAAAAGATTTAAGTATATTTACACATATACATATACATATTTGTTTAACTTCTTTTATACACTGCTTTAATATTATATATTATTTTTTTTTTAGAAGTTTATTTTTATTATATTGTATTATACCTTTATAGCTGTAGTATTTTGAACTGGCCACATACACATCATGTATTCAACAGCTTTAATCATAGGATACCATGCTACATAGTCTGCGTCTTCAAACAGAAACTTTGTAATGTTCCAAAACAAATAGAATTTGAGTTGTCCTTGCGTCAAAAAATAAAACGCGTCATCGATGATTTGAGCTCGATTGAGAACATGAATATCGGTATAATTTTTATATAAATAATCCGCAAGTTTTTGCCAGTTATCCGAATCATAATTGACGCGATAGTACCCTATGACACAAAAATAATATTTTTATTATTAGAGTGTCTTTATCAAATTTGTTAAGAAATGCTAACAAATATTGTTTTCCCTTTCTAAACATTTCCACAAATAATTTACTTTTTAATAAAATATTTTAGAAATTAATTGCAAATATGTGTGTTGCAAATAATTAATTAGAAAGTGACTAGAATTAATAATAAGTTAATTTCAAAGAGCTGCGGATCATCGTTGGCTGAAACGTTGAGTATGCTGAAAAAAAATTGAATATTGGCTACCAAGTCTCAGTAAAACAGAATTTAGTTGCACTAACTACAATCGAGTCAGACTGTTTAAAAATTAAATCAGATTAACAAACAAGATATTATGAAGTAGAACTGTTTCTTCGAAATATGCAAGAAGTCGAATTGTTTCAACAGATTTTTTTTCAGTGTATAATTGTGACTGCATACAATATATTAATATATTATCAATCTTAAATAATATCTACAAATATTCCAAATTTGCTAATATACACAAAAAAACATATTTCTAATATTAAACATAGGAATAATGAAATATCAGTTATAGAAAATAAAAAGAGTAGAATAAAGTTACTGTTTAATACTTACCAGCTTGTTGCAAATTGAGTATGATCCAATCATTATTGTCAATCTTATATATATAATGGTGCGATACTAATGAAGATAACCAAATGTCAGTTTTGGTATTTAATACCTTAAAGTTCATGGCTGATTTTGTTGTATATGTCACATACATTCGATATTGTTTTATGTCAGAAAGTAATGTACTATTGGAAATAATATATGAGATCAATACCGAGTTTGAGGAATAATCTCGTGTCACAGTCAGTACAGAATAATGTCCTTCCGTTAACCAAATTACATCTTGAATAGTAAAGTTACGTATGCTATTCAGTATACCTGGAGCCACAACGTTCCAAAAGGGTTCGATAGTTGATAAATTGCTAATATTTGTTACGTTTGTCTGATTATACCTGAAAAATTAACATGGCAAAAATTCTTAATTATAAATCCGCAATTTGGTGTTTAAAATTCTTAACATAAAGTGTAATTAAAAGTAACCGATTAATTTAAAACAGTTAATTTTTATATTTTTTAAATTGTAGAATTTGAAACATGTCATCTGTTTTACCGTTTACATTTTTACGTCATTATTATCATTATTCAAAGGTATAAAATAATATTACTCACTGTATGTACATACACGAGTTAATACCATACCAGAACACATAATCAGATACTAGAGTATATAACATATGCCATATAATGGATGCTGTAACAATTGAAATAATAAAGTAGTTGAGTAGTTTGAAGTTTTTTTTTAGTTTCAATATACTATTAATTACTATTGACATAATAATTATTTTAAAATAGTATAAATTCCTACTCTTAAAATACTTATAATAAAGTTTTTATGTATAAATAAGTAGTCTTAATTTTAATAAATTTGTAGTTAAGTTTTCTTATATTCTATTACGTACGAATTTATATATATAAGAATTTACATATAATTATCAATACGTTTAACTATATTTTCTTTAATTATAAGTAATATTTTAGTTATATTTACTTAAACTTACATTTGATATAATGAAGAGATGATCTAGGTGAATGATCTGTAAAGATGTTTGGAGTGTGGAAGGAAAGAGAATCTATAGGAAGAGTATCGAGACGTAAAAATTCCTGTTGTGTTTGGACGACAAATAAGTCCATGCCATTATATAACTTAGACTGTAAAGCGTGACATGATCGAGTAAATATGTAGTCGAGTATTTAAATTTTGGCAACATGTATTTAGCGTTATTGACAGCTGCTATTTACATTTGGTCGTTTATATTATAAAATAAAAAACTGCAGCATACTAATAGTAAAAATATATAAAAACCTGATTCAAAATATTTGCTGCAAGAAATGTAATGAATCCTTCTTTTGACCACAAAAGCACGTCATGAAACCAATAGA